ATACCAATATATCATTTTACTACGTGGAACAAAATAAAAGGCCTCGATCTCGTTGTAATAATCAGGTGTGTCCACATTTTTTCAAAAATCATTTTTTGATATAGAAATATTCAGAAATAAAATCTGTATCGAACAGTCCAAAAACCAAATACCTATATCCTATGTGCAATAAATAGTGTTATACTAGTATAAGGTCTATGGTTGTAATAAAATAATAAAAACAGATTTTTAAATTTCTGTTGTGGACAATAACCATGAATGTCGGGACCATATAATCACTTTTCGTGGCTATGGCGTTTTATCTCCAGGATGATTAAGCCACACAGACTTMTATATAGTWTAGAAGTCCGTGTTAAGCCATAGACATATAGATATTAGACAGATATTAATATAAAACAATAAAACTGTCCAGTGCCAGGGCTAAAATATTTTTTTAAATTAAATCYTGTATGGCTGTACTTACCAGTTTTCAAGTGGTATCCAGTAAATCAGTTAAAATTTAAAAATGGATTAAAATTAGAAATACCACTATTATCAGTCTTATCCATAATATTCCATATCAACCAGTTGATAARGTTATATATTTGATAAAAAAAACTTTTAAGTTTTCCCAATATTACCTATATAGGTACTAGGTAGTAGGTACCCATAAAAATAAAGATCACCTACTTCTCTCATCACTGTAGTTATATGATTATATCACTTATATATAGTTATATTATAATTCAGTTGGTTTTTTTTATTTCTGTGTGAATCACTATAACAACAACAACACCACTTAGAATATTAAAATATCATATTTATATCTGGTCATCTGGTCACTATTTAATRGGGACATAGGGTTCGTGTTTCATATTGTTACATAACTCCCGTAATGTACCATAAGTCATAAATTTTAATTATCATTTTTCTGTTCACATAAATCGTCTCCGTAAACTTTAGGACTTCAAGTGACGTTGTATCTGTGATTGATAATTTACTATTATATTCGACATCATGTTTAGAAAATTTGCATCAGCGGTTTCAACGGTAAGTACACTTATTTTATTTTATCATCTACTTAGCTTTTAAACACCATTTTTGTGTTACCTAGCTATTACCTAATATAAATTGTGGTTTTTAAGAGAAAAAGTGGTGAGTAGTGAGAATTGCTGAAATCATTTATTTTATTTATACATATATTATGTTATTATATCGTTATAAATGATTTGATCAAACTCATTTGCATTCTAAACCGATTTCGTTGTTTTTTACTTGTGAGTTTCAGTATTTTAGATATAAGCCGTCAATGAGGTCAGCTGAATCAGCTGATATAAACCATACATTTTGAAATTGTTATGAAAGTTTCATATTTTAAATTTGATAAATCTAGTCTCATGGCAGTGTATGTTGCTTTTCTCAAGTTACCAGTTTCTGTCGTAGTTGGATATTTAGAAACGTGTTTAGAATTATTCTCAGATCTAGCTGAAAGTAATTGTATAGGGAATTAGTTTTCACACTAGGGACTTATAAATATTCTAAAAATTAAATTTGCAGGTCTGACTATTCCCTAAAGCTTGACATGTTTATGCTATAAGTGTTGGGTTAGATTTGATTTTGATCAATTGCTGTCAGAAAAAAAATTGTTCTCATTTGTTAGTATAAGAAATCAAATAGATATTAAACTGTCCATTAGTTCTAATTGTTTATTTATTTCAGGTTCGCTTTACACAGCAAAATTTCCAGAACATTCCAAAGTTTAAACAAATTGCAATTACTAATTCAGTTACACGATCATTTTGTAAGCATGAATCAGTAATAATTAATTTCAACTTTTTTTAGTCTCATTGACATAATTATAAATATATATTGTATATTATATATATACTTTTTTTTTAAATAATGTGAGGTAATAGTAAAGATTAATTTTTTGATGTACATTTAGATTTATATTCATAAAAATAAATCAGTTTCGGAAAAACAGAACGGACAGACCAGTATTATGATGTTTATTTATAAGTAGTTTGATTTAATAATCATATCTTGAGAGTTGACTTTAATTTAAAAACTTATTATTATTTAAGTTTATCTAATTCATTATTTTAATCAATTAAATTTGTTGTTTTTTAGCTTCATCTCCTGTGACTAATGTTAAGGTACAAGAACCAGCGCCCCAATTTGAAGGTAAAGCAATTATTGATGGACAAATACAAAATATAAAACTTTCAGATTTTGTGGGAAAATACTTGGTTTTATTTTTCTATCCCTTGGATTTGTAAGTTAAATATATTATAATGAATCAAGAATATATTAATTTTTATGGTTTTATTTCAGTACATTTGTTTGCCCAACTGAATTAGTGTCATTTAGTGATCACATTGATGAATTTAAAAAAATTGGTGTAAATATAATTGGATGTTCGTGTGACTCACATTTTTCGCATTTAGCATTTGTTAACACCCCTCGAAAGGTTAGTTTGCATTATAATAAAAAACTAATTTTATTCATATTTCCTATTTATTTGTTTTATGAATAATTATAGCATGGTGGTTTGGGTGGTTTGTCTTATCCACTATTATCAGATTATAAAAAGGAAATTGCCAAAGCCTATGATGTTCTTATCGAACCTGACGGCATACCACTCCGTGGCCTATTTATTATAGACCCAAAAGTAAATATTACATTTTTTTTTATTCCTTATGAAATATATTTAAATTTGATCATGTTATTTCAGGGAATAATAAGACAAATTACCATCAATGACTTGCCAGTAGGACGTAGTGTAGATGAAGTTCTAAGACTTGTTCAAGCTTTCCAATTTGTTGACAAACATGGAGAAGGTAAAAACGTTTAGATTAAAATTTACATTATTATTATTTAAATATGATTTTGTGATTAAGTTTGTCCGATGAACTGGAAGCCAAATAGTCCAACTATCAAACCAGATCCAAATCTTTCAAAGGAATATTTTGGTAATGTCAACAAGTGAATTATTGTGCAATACTAAAGTACTTACAATTATTTATAACAAAACAGGAATATTATCTTAAAATAAAATATCAATTTGTTTATACTTTAATGCCTGGAGAGTCGCAAGAAAGATCCCTCAACATATTATTTTAATGAATCAAACGGTCATAAAACATGATTTGATTTAATTGACCATTAAATTTTAGTGCAACTCGGCATAAGAGTATTATAAATGTGTGTCACTTGAATTAGATATTTTAAATCTAACTGTTAATTTCAATTACTTAAATAAATAGTAAATTTGCAACTATGACAAAATGTGTGTTATATTTATACATGGTCAATCATCATCATCATCATATACAGCTTAAGGGACCATTGAGGTCCAATGTGTCGCCATCACAAATTTATTCCATTCTTCTCTATTGTACACTGTCTAACTAAGCCCCTTCTTGAAACACTCTTAGATCCTTCACAAATGAGTTATTCCATCTTTGTCTGGGCCAGCCCAGAGGTCTTTTACCTGTTATTTGAGCCATCAGTGCTTGTTTAATAATTCAGCCCTCCGCCCTTCATACATGCCTTAACAATTCGAGCCTTTTTCTTCTTGTATATGACAGAATATTTGGCCTTCCTTATAGCTCCTGTAATTCGTTATTATGTCTTCTTTCAAATTGCTCTAATTCTCTGTTAAATACATTTTTGCCATACATGGGCCACAAGTTTTTCTTTTAAAGATWATTAGGCTATGGCCAATACCCAGTCAAATTTGTTTAAATTTTTAGTGGAAGCAATTTTCTTCTTTCTTTTCTTTTTAATTTTAAAATAATGCTACAAAATAAGCATCATTTTAACCGATACATGTACTAATTAAGTATAGACTTTTCAGTGTAAGTGTGAAATATTCTATGTTTTGAGTCCTATCTAAAAACACAATAATTGTGTAAGCTGTTGACATACTGTTTTTAACTTTTGAGACTAAGAATTTTTGTTTGTCATGTAAGGGTGTTTTGCCGTTTTGGTGTTGTAAAATTTTCTCTCACATGTCCAAAAGTATGAAAAATGTATTTACTAAGTGTGCCTCAAATATATACAAAATATGTTAGTCATATTGTTTTATTTAATATTATTATAAGATCTATGAATACAATGGAGAGTGTGTAGGCCTCAACAATTTCCTAATTGTCAAGTATCCTTCCTTTGGTCTTTGACCAATACTGAGGATTGACTTTTTATCAATAATATCTGTCTACCGCTACATGCCGTTAAATTATCTAGTATAATCAAAACTAATTTGTAATCTGCAACAATACAATTTTATTAAATAGAATTCACAACAAAATATATTGACACAAATAATTAAGTTTTTTTTTCAAAAGACTATTATAATATAACAAAATGTATGATCTTAAATAGATGTAATAACAGTATTATAAAATTATATTAATTTATAGTATATTGAAAAAAATCAATTACATTAAAATTAAAATATATATAATAACAAAACATTTAAAGGAAACAATKAATAAACAGGCAAAAATCAGAGACCAGAATGTTATAGAAATGGTAAGTCAAGTAATAATTGGGGTAAAATTTAATATAACACTAGTAGATACAATAATATAATATAATAATTATTACTTTGAGTAAAATAAATTCTTAGATAAGTGTACATTGAAAATTATTTAAAAATTAATTTTCCAACAGATTTTAAGTGGAAACCATAATAAGTGTGATAACAATAAAACAATTGTACTTAAAACATAAGGTAAGTAAAACATTGAATTATATTCCATTTTAAATAAAAAACGTATACAGCCACGGACATGATGATTATGTATATTGTATACAGTATGCATGTTTAGGAGAGGAGGGGAGAGTCAAAGCATGTTAATTCCCAATGTCAAAAAAGGCTAATATATTAAAAACCTGGAAAAAATATATTTTATATTTATAGGTATATGTATAAAAAAAATTGGTAATCAGTTCATTTCAYACCTCTAAAATATAACCATGTAATTTAGGTACCTACCCACATTTTCAAGTTTAATTGTGAATAGTATTTTAAAACTTTAAAACATATAAAGACATAAAACCTAAAATCCTTAGTTAAACTTCTCATACATGGACAAATTTAGATACAAGTATAATATTGTTTAAACTTTAAATTATATAATAAAATGAATAACTATAAAATAATTAAAAAATTAATAGTCCTATCAWATAAAAATCTGGTTTTAATTTTTCAGTTAAAATAGATTAAGTATTATGTGATATTCATTTTAAATGGTAAATTACCTTGGARTTTTAAGCAGATAGCAATTCTTTTATTTGCAGGCTAGGTTAGGTTTTACTACACGGATATAAATCAAGCCAAATTTTGGACCAAATAAAAATAATCCTCAYAAACTATGAAAAATTACAATTATTTAAAATTAGTGAAAGATATGAATAAAATTAAGTTAAGAATATTTTGTAGAYYAAAAATGTTATATCAATTAATCATAGGTTAAAACATTWTAATTAATTCTATTACATCATATACGTGTATAATCCAAGAATTAAATAGTTTAATGCTTAAAGGTCAAATGTTTTTAGAYGGTAAGGTCATAATGTAAAAGCAAAAGTAAATAGAGACATTTGATACTAGTAGATAAAAAATTTGTTTAGAATAAAATATTAAATAAGAATATATAAAAATAACAGTATTAAAGCACTATAACATTTTTTAGTTATGGGATCAATGAAGAAATTTAATTATTAGAAATAGAACATAAAACACGATAAATTTAACGATAACTTAATCTTCGCATGGATTCCCGGGCACTGCGGAATACCTGGTAATGAAAGAGCCGACTTACTTGCCAAGGAAAAAGCCAATAATCTACATCAACTAACTGTGTGGAATATTAAATCCGACAAAGATATTTTTGATTTGGTTGTAAGTCAATAACCCACATCAACTAACTGCGTGGAATATTAAATCTGACAAAGATATTAAAAAAATTATATACAACCAAATTAAAAATAACTGGCAAAAAGAATGACTWAAAATTAATAACAAATTAAATGAGATAAAAAGAACTATCGAAAAATGGAAAAACCCAATGTMGCTCAAAAGAARAGAGGAAGTCATACTCTCATACTTAATCGCCTCAGAATAGGCCATACGCATCATAGCCACCTTATGAAAAAAGAGCCACCAAAAATATGCCTTTCATGTGGAATTACAACTACAATCAAACACATTATTACCGATTGCAGAGACACAAAAGAGGCAAGACAAAAATTCAACATACCGGAACACCTTCATGACCCACTGGGCCCTGACGAAGAATCCATCCAAAATATAATTTTATTTTTGAAAGATATTGAATCGTACAATTTAAATTAAATTATCATTATCTGTAAAAACAAGCCAATGGTCACGTTACCGAGGCTTTTTCCTTAATAAAAAATAATATATTATTTCAATTAAATATTCTAATAATTAAATAATATACAGGATGTTCTGTGATGATTTACCCATTGCGATATCTCTAGAGATAATAAATATATCATAAATCTGTTTTTTTTTTATTAGACTCGCATAGGACAAGGGCTACATGTTTTTATTTTTTTATTTTTAAATTTTTGAAAAAAATACAGATGCATATATTATAAAGTTTATTTTTTTGGAAATTATGATCTTTCAAATTTTATTTTCATTAATCTCACGATTTTTAATAATTTTTTTGTTTATTGATAAAACAGCAAAAAACTGGTTTTTATCTGGGAGGCGAATCTCTCACTACAGCTAATGAGTAATGGTTATATCCTCACGGAGAATTCTATAGAGTATTATTTTACAATAACAACAAAAAACAATGTATGGAACATTTTAACATAATTTTAATCACAACATTTGTTTTTTTTTTATTCAATTTATAGTACATTAAGATGAAACAGTCTTATAATAAAATGTATTCAATAAAATATGAATCTTAATTATTATTCATGTATTTATAAATGAAAGCATTCCTTTGTATGGCCATTGATTTTATGATATACAGATAAGCCATTCTATTGTTAATATTTGCAGCCGCTGAATGCAATAGAATGGCTTATCTGTATATTATAAAATCAATAGTATAGCTTAAAAATAAAAACATTACTAAGTTAGGTAATTTAAAATAGAAGTTGGTTAGATCCAAAATATTTTTGGCTATATACTGGTTGATTCATTTAACAGTAAACACTCATTAATGATTGATTGTTATCTCAAAAAGTAGAAAAAATTTTAAAAATAAATTTGTTTACATAAATTTAATTCATAACAAAACAAAGCAGAAAGTGTTTTAATAAAATATTCTACTTTGGAATATGAAATTAAAAATGGATTTTTTTAAAGCATTGTTTAATAATGACTTAAAATTATGTAAATATTTTCAAAAACATTAATACTGTTTAAGCTAAAATGAGTGTTGGTTGGTAAAAGAATTACCCTGTATATAAATATTATAGATAACTATAGAATTAAGAAGATGAATAAAATCAGTGATGTAAAAATATATAACAAAATGTGATGACAGTCCGTCACATAATAATGTAAGATATAAAATATGTAAAATGTATATAGTACCTATATTATATTATATAATATTTAATATCTATCATCAAAATCACAGAAAATACAAGAATTTCAATTAATCAATTCATATTTAAAACAACACTGTACATATATTTTTTTCTAGTACCTAATTAACAATGAACCAGAAAAGTTTTTAAGCTATAATATTATAACATCATAGCAGCATTATTATTTTCACAAATAGTAAAGAGGGAACAACACTCGTATTTATTGTCTCAGTCTTACAAACGCGTAACATAAATTAATGCTCAGCAGCTCACGTTTTACTCTCTTAACTTAAAAATTAAAGTGATAATGAGCATTTTTATTTTACAATTTATTATATACGCATTACTCACTTAAAAWCTGAATTATCGTTCTTACTATCAAGTATTATATTAGGTTTATTCACTCTTATTTTTAAGCTAACGAAGTAAAACGTGAACCGCCGAGTGTAAATTTGCTATGTTAAGCGTTTGTAAGACTGAGACAACAAATACAGGTGTTGCACTTTCTTAAAGATAGGGTTGTTTCAATTCAACCCAACATTAAAGTTTAAATAAAACAAGCGTGCTTATCAATCATGTTTACTTATAAGTTTATAACATACAGAATTAATAGACATAAAATTAATTCATAAAACACAAATGTATTGGATTTTGCACTTTTCTCAAAATTATAAGATATTTTTAAATAAATATAAGATATG